GATTAAGAGGTGAGGTTTGTGGAGTGGTGGCGGTGGTTAGGGGTTGTATGAAGTTGGATGTAGGGCTACGTATATACTTAATAGTGTGGATATAATTTTCAATATGTAATTATTTAATGATAGTGAATATTTGTCAGGATAAAGTTCGAGATCTGCTTCAATGGGAGGTGTCATATTTGGGATGTTGCTCGTGCATTTGTAAGGTTAGCTACAATTAGTCAATATGAGTGAAATTGAGGCTTTAGAGATATGCGATCGGCGTTTTGAGATGTGACCAACTGAGATGAGCGGGTTGTATGTACAACAATCACTTATAAGCAAGTAGTCACATTTGCACGATCGTAAATGCCCACCAGGGATTATACTTGGATGATATATTCAGCCCGACAGTGAGCGCAAAGCATAAGCACCCTACTTGTAGCTCACATAAGTATGCTTGGATTCAAAACATACCCACGCTACTCCTCCTCGGTTGTGGGGTTGCCGGGTTCAATTCTAAATTTGACTTCGGGTAGGAGGATCGCATTTTACTGTGATCCTCGATTATGATCCTGGACGTGCATCGGAAGATATTATCTACATTTATGATGGTTAAATGACGAGATAGGGCTGCTTCTGACTAGCTGGCAGAGAAATGAAAACTGTGGTCAATGGGTTACTATTTTGCATGGATGTCAAGAGTTCACATAACTGAACATGCTCAATTACACTAAGTAGTAGTGTTCTACACAAGTATGTATACGACCATACACATATCTGCTTAAGGCCTCCTACCGAAACTCCTTTGTAACCCTCTCACACCATTCCACGAACCTCCCCATCTCCCCCGATCCTCCCTCCCTCATCGCCCCCAACAAATCCTCCCTCGGACCAGGATGCCACCTCCCAAATGGTATCACATACCTGCCCCCATCATCCACGGTAATCCCCTCCTCAAACCCCGCCCAAAGGAGGGTACTCACACCAACCCCCGGAGTATAGAACACCGGTTTGCTAACCCACACACTCAATCTCGGCGCATTATCATAAATGGGGGTATCAATGTTCCCCGGATTCTGAGTAATGCTGACTACACCATTTGACCCAAGGTTAGAGGCAAAATGCGCCGCCAGGAACCAGTTACCGGTTTTGCTGATGGCGTAGTTGGTATTAGGGTCTGAGTTTGGATCCGGGGAAGAAGTGAGGGCCGAGGACGGAACACCGCCCGTCGGAGCGAGGAAGTCGACGACCATGCTGGAGGTGAAGATGACACGGACGGAGTTGGGTGGTGTAGATGGGCTTTGGGCTGTAGAAGTCAAAATAGGAGAGAGGAGGGAGGTCAGGAGGTAGGGAGCTGCGCAGTTGATGCCGATGTGAGGTTCGTAGCCTTGGGCTGTGACCTGGGTTGGGGGGAGACACGCCACGGCGGCGTTGTTGAAGAGGAGGTCTAGTCTGTTTGAGCGGGCGAGGAATGCGTCCACGAAGATAGGGATAGTGCGAAGGTCGGCGAGATCAATGGGGAGGTAGATGAGTTCGCCTGGCTGAGTTGTGGGATTGGGGGAAGTGGTGGCGGTGATGGTGTTTATGACATTGTGGGCCTTGGTTTCGTTGCGGGCGGCGATGTAAACGGTTGCTCCAGCATGGTAGAGGATGCGAGCCAATTCTAGCCCCAGACCGGAGGTGGCACCGGTGATGATCACAACGCGGCCAGTTTGGGGAGGCAGACTGTCTGCCGTGAGGGTGGGTTTGGCAGGGAATAGTTGAGGCCAGATGCGTTTGAATATCTGCATGGTGGTGGCACAGTGGGAGGTGATAATTTGGGAGAAAATATTCTTTTTTTCGAAAGAATGAAGCGGGATAGTCAGGCTTTTAAACATCTATTTAAAGCTAGCAGGGCCTACTAAATGCTCGGCTGCGCTGCGGTGGAGATGGCGTGGCATATACTGGTCTAGTCGATGTCGCTAACCGTTAAAGCTACATGAACGGCGCGGGTGCTAAAACGCAAGGCTGCGACAAGGACCGTGCACATTAATTAAATTGAGCGGAAGGGAACTAGTGGTTGACATGGCGGCATGCAGCTTGGTGCATAAACCGAATACTTGCATGGAAATAAGTGAGGATACGGCTATTGTACAGCAGTAGATACATTCATTTTCGTCATCAGATTGCGTAAGTAGGAAGGGAGATTCGGACATTACTCGGCCTTCTGAGCTGCTTCGTAACTTTGCATCAAGCACCAATATCCGGGGATATGGTCGCGCCAGATAGCTCCAAAACCCTCAATGTCGCGCCGCCAATCGCGGTGAATTTCCCCTGCAACCGCCGCCCAATTCAGCAGCTGGCAGCCTGCTCCCGCCATGCGCTTGTGCGCTGCCTCGCGCGTATGCTCTGCAAATGTGCCCGAAGCATCGGTCACTACGAATACCTCGTAGCCTTGCTCAATGAGGCTCAGAGCGGGGAAGGCCACGCAGATCTCAGTCAAGACACCACTGTTGCGGTTAGGGATTGCGTACAGGTTGAAGGTGCGTATATGTATGTGGGTAGAGGTGGGTAGTGTAACAAGTAGTGGACTCACCTGATCACAATCTGCTTGCGGCCAGTCTTCTTGACTTCATTAGCAAAGTCCTCATTATCCATTGCATTGATCTGTCCCGGGCGGCGGATCAGGGGTGCATCCGGGAGGTAGTCGGTGATTTCCTTTACGATGGGTCCATTGGGACCAGTATCGAAAGAGGTGGTCAACACCGCTGGAGACTTATAATACTGGGCAACTTTGGCAAGAGCCATTACGTTCTTCTGGAACTCATGCTGTTGGAAGTCACGGACTAGCTGGATGAGACCGGCCTGGAAGAGGTTCAGAATTGTTACAATGAGACATAGAGGGACAAATTACCTGGTGGTCCACAAAGAGGAAGATGCATTTGTCAATGTCGAGACGGTTGTACTTGGGCGGCATGTTTGCTGTCACTGGATTTCCTAAACCACAAACAGGAGAACAGAGGAAGCTGGAGTAATTTTGATGGTGGGTAGAGTATTCATGCAGGATATTGCGACGGACAATCTCGGCCTATAAATGTTGAATGCGAGGGCTGGTGGGAAAGGTAATCCCCTCTCCGACGTCACCACCCATCATCGATATTTTGTGTAACATACAGACTCTGTCTAGAAGATGCATGGACCAAATTCCAGATCGGTGTTTCCGATTAGCTCATCATTTCTCAGCATTAGAAGTCCGGGGAGAAAGACAACCCAGATGGAACTGAGCTTGGCACGACCATGATCAGGCTAATCAGAGGAAGCTGTCGGTTCCTGCCGACTAGGTATTACACAAAGATAGAAGCTTTTAACTTTGTCAAGTTTTTGGTTGGAGATCGGAGACTGATCGAGATCGCTCATCCCGACTCGGGGGAGGCGGCGCATCGTTTGGCAACTGCAGATCAACCAGGAATATTGGGGCAGCTGATCGCCACCCACTTCGTCTTATCAAACTCTGCTCTGAGGCTGAAGCATCCAGTGCGGGCTTATTCAGGGTTACGAGATCGGGAAGGCTGTGTGTGGGCGGGTGGGCGAACCATGGGTCTGGTGTTAACCCCAAGCTGGTGATGTAATTGACCAAGCTAAATTCTTTCAATATATTCACAGCAGTGGGAACACCGTGGATGGAGCCTACTAGCTCTCGAAGTATGAGATCTTCAATTGAGAATGGCAGGCCTACTATTTCGTCCACAGAATGACATTGATCCCAGCGTCAACGTCCAACAGCTATCTTGCAAGCCACATGTGCAGCCGTTCGTCGGCCGCATTGGCGGCAATCAAGGCATTGTCCTCGATCGCGCCGATCCAGATAATGCTGAATATTTGCGTAAAGTGCCAGATGCTGCTCCATTGATGAGTGCGCGAGATGCCTTTAATGTGCGCGGGTTCACCGATCTTGATCTGTGGCGTTTCGCGGTGGTGGAATGCGTTGGTAACACCCTCCCGGGTAGACATCCAAACTATGGGAAATGATAATAATTGTTCGTGATGAACTCAGGAACCATGATGCTAGCATTCATTACTGCCTGGGCGGCAGCTACTCCCGCGAATGTGGCTCCCCCGACCCCCTCCACACCAGCAGGGATTTTCGCTACAACAGCCTTCCTGGGTCCTCTTGTCGGCGCCGTTACCAATTGGTTGCTCCTTACCCTCTTCATATTTTCCTTCTCGTCCGTCAGTGGTAGTCATCTCAACCCTACCATAACGCTAGCAACCTTTTTTGCGCGCCTAATTTCCTTGCCACGTATGGTTCTCTACCTCTGCGGGCAAATCCTCGGAGGTGCCCTGGCTGGATGGATATTACAGTCGGCGTTTGGATCCGGACAATACTCTGTCGGTGGATGCGTTGTTGATACTGCCCTAGTTCCAGTCCGAGAAGCATTCGTGCTGGAGTTCATCTGCAGCTTGACATTGATCTTCTTGTCGTTTGGTGTTGGGTTGGACCCTAGACAGGTTAGAGTGTATGGGGCTGCGTTGTCCCCATGGTTAGTAGGAATGGTTTTGGGGGCCGTGAGTTTGGGATCGGCGTATACGCGAGAGGGATATGGAGGTGCATGTGTGCTTTTCTTCTATACACTCACTTCTAAGTGCAGTGTGCCGTCAGAGTGTCCTGAAGCTAATTCTCGTTTTCAGCGCTGAATCCGGCGAGGTGCTTCGGCGTATATGTGGGATCATCCTTTCCGGGATACCATTGGATTCACTGGGTGAGTGATGTTAAGACGAAGTTGAGGTTTCACAAATATATTGAGTACTCATGCAGGTTGCACCTATTGCTGCTGCCATCGGACACGGACTGGTCTACTACCTGGTGCCGCCATGGAAGGCATGATAAGACATCACTTTACTGCTGACGCTACGAAAGCGCTACACATCTGCAGTGAGTCCATACATCACCTAAAGGTTGGAGCCCAGATCGCTGACTTGAGCTTGACAGAAAAATCCTTCCGATAGTGCTAGCACTTGGATTAAGTGCTTCCGCGCACCCTTTGATGGGCGGCAAGTATGTCGCCAAACAAGCTAACTAGCTCCATCTGAGCAGGTAGCCAACACGGCGTATATCATGGATCGTCAGTCATCCAGCATTGACATACCTGAATCTTCTGCTCGTCAAGTTGATGGTTGTCGTGAGTTATGCAACGATCCGATACAACACTAGATGGCTTGCAAAACGGGTGCATTCAGTGTCTGGGAAATCTTTTCCGCCAGTCCTAAAACAATTGATAGGCTCGATGAATATGGTCTCCTCCACCCACATTAGTACTCTGAACGGTAGTGGTCGCACTTGCGACTCAATGGCTGCTTCTAGATGGACATACCACAGTAACAATGTGTGCGCGATCCGCGAATGGAGGATTCGACTACTAATCATGACGAGGAAACAATGTGCATGCGGCGGGCACAGGTCGTGTAGGACAGGTCGCCGAGGTCAGTCTCCATTGCTGTCTGAACGTGTTCACACGAACACCCGCAGAACAGTAGACATGAGGTAGACCGCGCTGGTATAAAGAAATCTGATGAAAAGATTGAGAATAATAATTATTGCAAGAAGTAAAGGCAGCTTTCCTGCTTAAAATCCTTGGATACGCTGAAGCAGGGGACAGCCGTATCAATAGTTGTCCCAGAAAAAAACGAAGACCGGTAAATGAGATACACCTGCAGTAAAAGTCTGATATGAGGACACAAGCAAAGCAGCTAGAAAACCACCATCAGCGACCAGGTTAACATAGCCCAAGCAAAAGTAAACGTCAAAGCATCCAGTCACAGAGCCAGTATCAAGAAGAATCGAATTCCCCAAACACAACTGCACCAGTGTAGAATGGCAGACCGATCTTGATACTAATGTAGCAACCGATTCTGCCACTCCTGCCCAAAGGCGGTCAAAAAACGAACAGAATGCTGACTGGTTTTTTCGGAGCTGTACGAAAATATATCCGCCTATATCCGTCTATATCCGTACTTTTTCTTGCGAGGTCGAGGGAGTTCTGCCGCTTTTAGCGGTCAAAAGAGCGGTCTAGTGGGGCAGTAAATGAACAGTCGGAGGTTTATTGGGGAAGATACACCAAGTACTAGTCCTCCGTACTAGCGATGCGGATCAACGGAGTGGGATGATCGACCCCGAAACAAGCGCCCACCAGCGAGACGGTAGGAATAAGGCACGAATGCCAATGGCTACATCCAGGCACAACATGAATAGCTGCTAGTTTATTGGCATCCTGGATACCACATAAGCGACTCGCTCATCCATCACATGCCCGGCAGTTACGCCGGCCATCTCCATCGAGCTCATCGCCCGCCTATCATCATAGCACTCCCTCAAACTCCCTACTCTTCTAGGCGCAGGGCATAATTCTCAAAAGAAACATAACGCTACTTCAAGTGCTTGTACCCATTGCTGTTACAGCGTTACTGGCGAGATCAGGTTTATATACTTAACTAGAGGATCCTCCTGGACGGATAGCTAATGAAGCTCAGGCAATTCATGAGTTGATGAGGCGCAGGTGAATATATAGTCCTCTCGTAATTGAAACTAAAACAATCTTGACTGAACACCTTCAGGTATCCAGCCCGTAAATCCATAAAGCCGACCATAGATGGCAATCAAAGAGAGGCCTTCACGTTTGCAGTTTCCGCTGTAGGGGAGTGCCGATAAGCCGGTGGAAGAATTCCTTCCAAGGCTGCTTTGATCTGGAGCGCGAGGGTACGCGAGTACCACCGGTGCTGCTGCGTGTAACCTCCCATGATCCAGATGTTCTCAATATTCAAATGTCGCTTCCACATGCCACGAATTTCTCCCTCCTCATCAAGTCCCCAGGTCGCATCCAAGCGCGAAGCAATGTCTCGAGGTCCGAGAATTTGTTTTGCGCTGCCGTTAGGTTCAGCTTCATCCACTGACTCATACATACTCGAATCTCCACCAAGAATCTCGGTGGCCGTTGTTACAACGTTGGAATCGGAGAAACCAGTACACCAAACGATAACATCTGCATCCACACAACTGCCATCCGAGAACCGGAGGCCTGTCCGCGTGTAGGCAACGGGCTCTACACCCGCCTTTACATTGACCTTCCTCTCCTCGATCAGCTTCGTACCACCGACATCGACATAATGTCCACCCGCACGCTCGAGGAGGTTATGCATTAATGCACAATCGGGGTTCCGGCTGTCAAGGACAGGGAAGCCAGCTGCCTCAAGTGCAGCATATCGCTCTGGCTCGTTCGAGGCGAACATTGCGAACAACCCACGGGCCAACTGTCCGTCCACCACTGTTGGCAGTGATAGGAACAGCTTATCAGCCGCATCAACACCATAGTTATATGCACCCAGACTGTTCTTATCGCAGACATACTCGAGTGGCACAATGTAAGTTGGGGATCTAACGACCATGGTCGCATCGAGGCCGGCCTTGTGGCAGTCGACCAGCACATCGAATGCTGTGTTTGCAGAGCCAATGACCATGACAGACTCGTTCAGTTAGTACCGCACGGGGTTTCTTGGAGGTTTTGATATAGGATGTACCTTTGCTCCTTGTTCCCGAAGTAGCTTCGCATTCTTGTACTCGGCCGAGTGAACGCTGATGCCCTTGTACAGTTGAGGCTCCGCGATCGGTGGCATGTTAGGCTTTTGAGACCCAATGCCTGTTGCCATAATAAGATGCTTTGACGTAGCCTTGCGCTGGCCGTCTGGTGACTGGAAAGTAACATGCCACTGCCTGGCCATCTCATCATACTCTGTCGACAGAACCTTGGCGGAATGGATAGTATTCAGGTTAAATGACTCGACATATCGGCGGACCTGCGAGGCCAGGTCCTGGCGCGTAAGGAGGTGAGGGCTCTGAAGCTCTTTGTCATAGCCTGTTTGGGTCGGTCAACTCCACCTCTGACCCGAACAATGGCAACAGGAGCAGGATATGGAATGACTGACACATGTAAGGAAGTTCACAGAATGCTGTGGGAATGTGAAACTGCATGCAGTCATAGCGTAGTGCCCAATTGTCACCAGGACAGGGGTTGCGGTCGACCATAACGCTGTCAACACCCAGAGCCTTCAGACGTGCGGAGAGAGCAACGGCGCTGGTGATTTGATTTCAGTGACCCATCGAAAGCGGATAGGAACGGTGTCTTACGCATTTCCCGCACCGATGATAAAGACATCTGTTTCGAAATTTGGTAGTGCATCCAATTTCCTTTTGGGGATCTGTAGTAGGCTTTCATCCTCTGGTTGTACGTCCAAGCTCTCGAGTATAGTGCTCAATATCCAGATCTTCCAGGCGATCCTTTGACCATCGGTTACAACAGGCAGTAGCATCATCTTACCCCGGCAGAGACCAGAGGGCGATTGTGTCTTGAAAATGAGAGGACAATCAATAAATTGCTAAATAGCGAATCATGCGGTCAGTGCTTGTCGCAAAGAAGTGAACCATATAGGCTCGTACCAGAACGGGTGTAGCCGGAAGAAATACGGCAGCTCCGTCAATCTCAACACCACCGGCAACGTTCCTCAGGTTTGCTGTCTCCAACAAACTTGAAGCGATGGTACGAGGGGTGCTGATTGTGCGCAGATGCCATGTCAGAGCCAATTGATCCTTCCAGTATGCTTGGTCTGCATAGAAACAACTTTCCAGGGCGTTTACATCGCCATTGGCCAATGCATTATTGAAAACTTGTAACACACCATGGGCTTGGGTTGTTGCTTCGTCACCAACCATTGACGAAGCATCGATCAAGCCAAGGGGCAGAGTCGGGAGAGGGTGTTGGTTCATCATGCGACGCAAGTCCGCACGCCGCGGGTACTCATCCCGAACGGGAGGCTGCGCTGTACTGTCTGGGCCGATGATGCTATTAGTACTTGAGCGCCAATGATTCGCCATCTGATCCTCTAACACTCACTGAAATTCATGACTTCGTTGGGGGTGGTAGGAATCGAAACGGTCACACAAGTCCGATTACCCCGCAGGGGAACAAGAGCATTTATGGAACGACATGCTGTAAGGAGGGTGGAGACGGGCTCAACGGCATGGGAGCGTAACTAGAACGGAACAAGATGAATACTGGCGCAGCCACAGTCCTCGCGGCAGATTATCGGTATTATCATGGTTAAGCGAATTCAAATCCATGAATAGTTTGAAGCTACAAGACAGGCGGACGAGGCAAGTACAGCCGCCACTCATTCCGCCTAATGAAGGCAGGGGATCCGACAAGGTTTGTCTCCGGAGGGCTTGCGCAGTTAATAACGAGGTGATCCAACCCACCTGGGAACTGTCAACCAAAGAATTTGAGTCTCTGGTCTGGACGGGCCGTTTCCGGTATGCTAGCGCCCTGCCAACGACAGCCGGACTCTTTGTCTCTGCTCTAGTCGCAGCCTGGGCGGGTCCACAGCGGCAGGTTTCCGGTGCACGGCGAGCCCATCGCTAATGCGTAAGTCCCACAAGACCTACTCTATTAGATTAAGTGTCATGCCGTTTGGGACACTATTCCAGAAAGCGACAAGCCGTCATCCTTTCATCTCCACAGGGAGTCGTGTGCCGCAAACTTCGAGGACGTGATCACCGACAGCCCATTCACACTACTGGCCGATAAACAGCAAGAAGTAGCCCTGTTTGTACACTTGCTGAGGCCTCTGGGCTAAGGTGTTCCCTGGAGGAGGATTCTGCGTATCATGTGCCCTGTGTTTCCTTTAGTTTGTATGCAGTGTGCACCCCGATTGCCCTAACATAAGTACCCAAGAAGTGCGCTAAACACGACGATACCGAAATAGGGCATTGCCAAAATCACTCAACCGCCCGTGCGAACATGGCGTGTTTGCGCCTTGCATTAGTAGCAGGCACCGTGTTGTGGCACTTATCTAACCCCTGAGCGATCCATAATCGCAAAATTGGGCCTATCAGACTGACGATCAAACAGTTCACGCATGGGTATATGCGCAGTGACATTTGAAGCCTCTTCACCCCACAATGATTGAGATTTCTCTCCAATTCTGCAAGGATGCCTGCTGTTGTGCCGTCGTTGACGACCTGGTTTGCGCGAGATGTCACCAGAAACACTGGCGACACTCCTCGCTGAGCCAGCTCTGGCAGCACCGTCTGGTGTTACCCCAAACTTCGATAATCCGCCAAATAGCAATACGCTGGCATGGGTGGTGACGACTTTCTGTACTGTGGTCCTCACGATTTGCTTTCTCTTACGAATATTCGCTCGGATTTGGTTGGATAAAAGGGTCGGTGTCGAAGAAGGTGAGCGGTGTCTGAACCCCAATCTATCGGTCACTGAATGAACGAGGCTAACTGCAACCCCTTGTGTCAATAGTATTGATGATTCTTGCATATGTATGATTTCACACAGCTCCTTGCATAAGCATTCAGTCGATCTAATCTTCTATATAGGGCGCCTATTGGGGTACAGCTTACGCGGGCTACGCCTTGATCTACACCCCAGGATATTACGTCCATACCTGGGACCTGCACAACAAGGATCTTATAAGGCCTCTCTACGTATGTTGATTCCTTCAAGCGAATTCACATTGAGACTAATAACTTCCATTGGCAGTTAATACTTATCTATGGCTGCTGCTACTCGGCCGTCCTACCTCTAATCAAGACTGCGATCCTGCTAGATTGGTGCAGAATATTCGTTCCCATAAACCGCATGAGAAACGTCTTCTGGTGGGGTTGTGTATCCGTTATATCTCTTCAGTGTGTATGGGGTGTGCTGTGCATCCTATTATTGAACATGCAATGCAGGCCTCATGAAGCCATCTGGAAGTTCTATCTTCCAAGCAAATGCTACTCTCTCCCCGACGTGATGCTCACCTCTGCCAGCGTCCAAGTGGCGTCCGACATAACGATGTTCTTCCTGCCTCAGAGAATTATCTGGCGTCTTCAAATGAACTGGCAAAAGAAGATCGGAATATCGATCATTTTCGGCGTCGGTATACTGTAAGTCTTCCAAATCCATAGCTCAACAGTACCACCAAACTAATATTAGTCCCTGCCAGCGCCTCCGTCGCCGCATGCTTCCGCCTCTCCCACACCGTCGCCTTTGCCAACACAACCGATACCATGTATCTCATCGGCCCACTACTTTTCTGGGCCTGTGGAGAAATGACCTGTGGATTTTTCATCCTCAGTGTACCCTGCCTGTCTAAGCTCATCATTGAGTCTGGACTTCCCCGTAGCGTGAAGCAGTCACTCGGCTTTGGTTCTAAACCCAGTGAGCCTTCATACGAGGAGTCGGAGCAACCACATCGCTCAGGACGTTCTGATGCATTGCGCTCACATCCTATGAGACCATGGCTAAAGAACACAGACACATTATGGTCTAAGATTGGAGATGAAGATCAGGATCATCCTGTTCTGAGGGATTCGGGAAAGTCGGAGTCGCAGACGAGTCTTCATAGAGCACGCGCCGATGGTCAGGATTGATCAAGCCATGATCTAGACAGATAGATAAAAAGGCGTTCTGAGGAATTGAACTTTCACTTTGGACTACATAGAGAAATATTATAGAGTAACGAGGAGCACATTGGCTTTTGGCGCGGGGCAAAATGAGTCCGAAGACCGCATGGCATTCCAAAGAGTCCCAACAAAAAGCTTCTTACATCAATTAGCTAATGGTACTACTACTCCCCATCCAAGTCTGTCCAGTCTCTACTGACCCTCCAGAATAACATCTCTTATAGCCTCCCGATCCGGATTCTTGTCTACCATCTCCGCAAATCAACCCACTTTTCTCAACACCTTTCTCAGAGCTCTAGCCTTAATAGTCATTCTATCATCTATAACAGAAATCTGAAACAAAAAAACCATCGTCTTCGACCAATGCGCAACACCCAGAAACGTAGTATTCAGCCAGCACGGCCCGCAGACTCCGATCCACCATGTCATCTGTACCCCCTATCGACAAGGAAGGGAGTGTCGTCCATATTTAGGATGCTAGGTCGGCGCATAATGATGCGAGCGAGTTAGAGGAGTTGCCTTTGCCCGCGGGAAAGGTTTCGCCGCAGTGGAAGGTAAGTTGGGTTAGAGGTATTGGGAGAAAGTTGAGTCGGGAAAGACAGGGGTGGTTTCCTATAAGGTTGATGTGTCGTTGGTAGTTGGGATATCGGAATCAGAAGAGGAAGTAGGGTAGTGTCGCCACCCGATTGCTTGGAGAGCTTCGAGGAGGACGATGTCATTGTACCCGTCGAATGGTTCTAGGTATCTATGTTTGATCGGACGGTACCTCAGAAGAGAACTAGATATTGCGGGATAATGGCCAGTCGATTACGGAGCCGGGCGACCGGCACTTGTGAGGTGCCTATTCCATCGATTGAGATCTGGCCGTGACATGCTTCGAGAAAGCGAAAGAGTGCTAGCAGGAGGGATAATTTGCCCACTCCTGTACGACCTATTACGTCAAGGCGAGTATTGAGTGCGATTGAGAAGCTTATTCGCTTCAGCACAGGGGGCAGATGGGAGGCATGGTGGACGACCAGGCCGGAGCCTTCGAGTGGTACCTCCTGTGAACATCCTTCCGGTAGACTTAGGTCCATCTGAGTGTCGCGTTCTGTTGGAGTAGCCGTCGCGAATGAGGTTTCTGAATTAGAGGGCTGATGTTATGATATACAGTGTTCTGACCTGCTGCTCATTCGCGCTCAGGACTGACGAAGTGCTCCGTGGGAGACTGGTGCCTCGGCCTTTACCCATAATAACTGTGAAATCAGACTCAACCAAATGTTCAAGACGAGGCTTTCGAATAGCCACTTATACTCGCCGACCCTGGGGTGTGTTCAGTTGTCAGGTGCAAGATGTGTCAGCATGTCAGACAGACTCGTCAGCCTGAGCTTGCCTCTTCTGGAATGTAACACGAGCCTTCCCTTTCAGGATCACCTCGCGGTCACCCCATTTCGAGGGCCCGATATCACAGCGCGGACCTTACTCCGGAGAGACTTTGCAATTTGGTTTGCACAAGCTAACAACGTTATATCCAACGTGGGATATATTATCATAGGTCCAGTCCTCGTCCGCCAGTTCTAACTCTTTTTCTACGTTCCTCTCGTTGTTCTAAGCTGATATTCGCCCTGATGAGGAGGGTTCAACTTGTACTTGATACTTTAAGGGCTGGAAGGTGTGTCTCCAGGAGACATCTGCCTGAGCACCATACACTACACCGTGGATTCGCGACCAAAGTCGCCCCAAGTATACCTTGTGTGGTGGCTCGCGAGATGCTCGACTCCCAGCGACGTTCCCATGTGGGGACCATCCACCATCATCTCCAAGCCAGCGGCGCTCTCAAGATTGGTCTTCAATTTCCCGATGACGAAAGCCGATACCTGGAGCGCTTGATACTTAGTCTTTGCACTCATCACGGGCATGGACCTCCTACAACCCACAGCGCTTCCCGAGGCTGGTTCTGGGAAGTTCGCCCCAGTCCTACTGGACTAGAGACGCAAGTGCCTCTCGCGCGATCAGAAACCATGCAAGGGTTTTCGTGGCACACAGACTGTACCTATGAGAGCGCACCCCCGAGATACGTTGCGCTTCAGGTTCTCCGGCCTGATCGCTATGGCGGGGGCACCCTGTCTCTCATGAAAATCGCTGATCTCTCACATCACCTGTCCCCGGCTGTACTGAAAGCTCTATTCAAACCGCAGTTCAGAATCACTATTCCTCCTGAGTTTATTAAACAGCCTGATGAACACCACATTCTAGGAAGCATTCTTGGGGTAGATCAGATTGATCAATCGCTGGCAATGAGGTTTCGAGAGGACCTGATAGAGCCAACGAACCCCAAGGCTGCGGCAGCATTTGAGGAGCTGAAGGTTGCCCTAAACCAGTTGGCGAAAAGTCCTCAGTCGACGGTATACCTGACGAAGACAGACTTACCCGAACAGTCAATTATCATACTGGACAACCATAGATGGCTTCATGGGCGGGATGGCATCAAGGATCCTGCAAGACATTTGCGTCGAGTGCGATGGAATGCAATGCCGTTCCCTTCCGTCGGTCAGGGTGACGCGGCGGGCTCTATAGGAAGGGCGGCCTGAGTCTCGGATAGGAAGTTCGGAAAGATGCTTGCAGATTTTGCTCACCAGCAAGTTGTACCCCAGCTTCCGTTGTCAAAAGTCCCTACGAGAACGCAAAGTCAGCTTTGGGACAGTAATGATCTTTGAGGTGCATAGTGAACGTTCTTGAGTACGACAGTACCCAACGTCCGCTTCCAAGAGAAGGGAAAAGTGGCGACCCAGAGCAGCATGCGATGTCACTGACAGTGGATGACTTGTAGTATAGAACGTTTGTCCTACAACTTGCTGTATTGTTATATTCCCTATCCAATACAAAGCCGAAGGATGAGAGCATTACTGGCCTGAGCTATCAATTTAAAGAATGGTATTTCTATTCCCACAGGTCATCTCCCTGGCCAGGTTCTTATCATGTAATACTAGTTCCACGATGGGAAGGCCAATCAGATCAGCCTGAAGATAGACAATAACCATGTAGTGTACCGTATTATGCTGTGAGCAAGCTGACCATGGTATAACTCAGTATTTACGGGTGCCAACGGCCTCAAGTATTTGACCACAGTACTAAGATTATTCCACATGCACGAGTACGGAAGGCTCTTCTATGCCAGGGAGATGGCTCGGAGATATATGGCCACGACAATGACACAAAGCTGGCGCATGTGTTCTTCTGAACCCAAGCAGAAGGGTCCGAACCTCTGGATCTCGAGGAAAGCATCGTCAACATCTGTTCCTTCGAGATACTGCATATAGCTGGCTGTTGGCTTTCCCACACAGATCCATGCCTCATGTCCGTCTTCAGCGAGCAGGAACTTACTGAACATGGTTAGTATGTAGTATCTGCAAATGGAACGAATCTTTCACTTACTGGCCGTTGTAAAACTCAGTCCATCGCTTGGAGTTTTTCAACCAGCCAACCATCTCAGAAGCTTCCTGCATCAGAAGACTGTCCTTCAGGTCAGCCCTCGTGGCCTTCTCGACTTCAACAATCGCGCGAATCTCCCCGTCATCCTTCTTCCATAACACACCGTCTGTCAAGGCCGTGAAAGCACACGCAGAGAACACCGACTGGAACCGAAAGCGCAACGGTGTAAATTCGAAGGCTTCACAGTCAACGAGGGCTGCCGCCGCCTCTAGGAAGAGCACAAAAGCGGCATTTACGATGTTTTCGTCGATTACCCCGGTCTGGCCTTCACCCGTTTGATCATCGGGAGCTTTATTACCGTCCGTGTCAGTCACAGACTATTAGAATTTGGGACAAGGACTTACATTCGGTAGATCGGCTCCTCTTCGTGCCACGAAGGGACGGTGGAGAATGGCTTTTAGGTGTCGAATTTTCCTTGACACGATTCTGGTACCTCAGGACAGGCATCCAAGAGCCTGGCCAAATGCCGTCGGCCTCGCTGATTATGCTGACTATTTCTGGGTGTTCCACGAGGGAGAAGTAATCCTGCGTCTCCGGGGACTTGTTAATGAGGTCTTCAGCCACCGTCCACACACTGTCGAGGCGAAATTTATCTTTGAAATACACGAGATCCCCTCTTCTCAATGATAGGGGCCATATTGCACGGTACAGGACAAACTGCTTTTTTTTGGTCTTGCTGCCGGAACCCATCTTCTTTAGGCTGTTGATACTCAAATTCGCAAGCTTGCTGGACTTGACGAGATCTGTCCAGTCTTTCCTATCGGCAGGGATAGAAAATCTCCCAACGAACGAATCATTATCCTCAAGAGCCCCCTCCTTCTTTGCCTTACCACTGTCCTCTTTCCTCAACTTCTTCCTGATGGACATCATTTTGAAAACCGATATCGAGAAACAAGCTTAGTGACGATGAGATCACACGATGAGAAGAGAATCCACAAACAACTGTGCGCGTAAGCGAAGAGAGGGTGTCTGAAGAAGAGACGCTATGAGACCGGTAGGAAGAGTGTTATGCAAAATCAGAGATGATAGACTGAGGCGAAGCGGAAAGAAGTGAATTAGGGAAGGAAAGGGTGGACCCATACAGGAGTTACGAGCATAATAGCGCGAATCAACGCGTCTAGCCTTAGAAGACATGTATGGAGAAACTCGCTGTAGGAAGGCTGGATGTTTGATTGCGTTTGTTTCCTCCACATTTGATCTGTTATACTGCACACCAGAGACAAGAATGACTCAATGGGTTACCAAGGTGACTTTTGCAACTGACATTAGAACGAAGCAATAAGGTAGGGTTATTAATGTTTCCTGACCCTCTGATACTCCAGTTATATTCATTCCACTGCTTATGAACTTGAATATTTCCCTTTAGCCGTAACATTGTTCTATAAAAGATAAATTGCAACAGCCGTACCCCATCAACATTATTCCTTACATGAATTGGGGCTCGTACTGGCCCATTGTTGATAAAGCACACACACAATAAAGGGCTAACAAAGCACTGCACTTCACGCACATGTGGAGCAGAAAACATAGTTCAGGACTCTCTATGAGATGAGAAAGACGATAGTTCTGGAGGAACTCGCCAAGCCGAATATGGTAGTGCTACAATATCTATTCAAGACGCATGGAAGTAGAAAAGGAACAATGTATGGTGTCATAAAGAATTCCGTCATAATGAGCCCCCTATGCGAATAGACAAGGGTTCGATATAAAAGAAACCCAGGCAGTCGTATCTCGAAACACCCAGAGGAGTGTAACTATGAAAGAAAGCTAAGGGAGCTCATTGCATCAGGAGTAAGCCGGCGCATCATTTGATGCGTTGGTAGGATGATAAAATGCTATCCAATACTCTAAGTGCAGACTGATATGAAACAATTGCACCTCAACTGTGTATGCCATACAGGTAAAATGTAATATAATGACAAGAGCGATAAAAAGGAATTTGTGACATTCATGCCAGGCTCCCAAGAAGAAACGCAGCGGCCAATGTGGCAGAGCATCCGTTTCTGCAATTCATTACTGGTCAAAATATAGATGCAGAGCAGCTAGAGCTAGAGAAATCCAACTGCGTATTATACACATATTAACGACCATCATTATTTTCATATGCACTTAGTGAATTGGGCTTGGTGTATACCCATAACCTCGTAGGCTGCGCATGTATGTGAAAAATCTTTCAGGGGAAGTGAATAGGTCCTGGACATGTGACTTGGGCCATGTTCCACAAAATGACATCAAAATAAGCTATTCGCCTCACGCCGTGTTCCTGACTCCGCACTCTGCAACCGCAACAACACCTCCGTTCTCTTTCTATAACTCACCTTACCACTCTAAGGATACTGGCTGGTCCCTCAAGGCCTCTAATTGGATCAGGTACTTTATCATCTGCCAACTTCATCCCCGCCTACTGTCTATCCAAGCACTCCCTTCCCAAGCTCACTTCGCTGCATAAATCGGCAATGTCGTACATCGCTAGGACTTTTTCACGTATTCGAGCCCATTTGTCCCGGCCGAGTGCTAAGCCGGAAGAGAATGACTATGCAATGACTGTAGGTGCTAGCATCAGTGGAATTGTCTGGACGCTCTACTTCAAAGCATATGAGTCAACCAACGATCACCTCTTACCGCACGATCTGGTGGCCTGGGGTATTATTGTTCGACCTTTCGATATCGCGTCTCCTGAAGCAGTCATGAATACAGAAGCCTCACACACGAACCCAGCATCATACTTCCAGCCACTTCCCGAGTCTTTTCTTCAGAGCCATCCCGTGGTTATTTCCAGCGAAGTACAGAAGGATTTTGAACGTTTCGAACACGAGCTGGCGCCCGAGTACCCTGGTTGGGGCAATAAGCCAGGAACCAAGGGGATCTCGCTAAGCTCCAGAATGGAAACATTCGCAAATTTCCTCGAGTTCCAACTTCATTGGCCCAGGGCGGGGTTTCCCAGGGAGGTGTCTCTCAGGTCTGCCACGAGATGGCGTGAGCCAGGGTATTTTCTTGGATGTTCACAATTTATAAGACTACACAGGTACTGACAGCTTTAACCCATAGGGAATTCCGAATGATGTTCCCCAGGCACGCACTTCCCCCTAAGCGCGTAGATTGGAGCTTGCGTAGTGTCCATTTATGCTACACGCAGCCGAGGTTCCCGCATGTCAAAGCCATAATGAGTCACGGAACAGACGCACATCCGGATTTACTGCTGCGTGGCGAGTTGATGATGATAGCAGCTGTGATGCATACCATGCTGCTTAATGAGAGTTATCTCGACCATGTCATCATGCCGGTGAGTTTAATTTACGTTTGTTCTCACCAATCTGTCCTCTACTATCTGCTCATGCGCCCTTCACGTACTAGGTAATGCTGTTTTCGTTTGTGGGTCCATCACATGTACGAATCTTGATAGCGATCCACGATGGAAGCGTGCTCAGAATCTCAAAGTCGGACGTACTGCAATGCTCTCCAAGTTCTCGGGATGTTTGGGATTTGTTAGTTCGATACTACGCAGGCGGCAACAATCCTAAGATGAGCACAACCAAATTGCCGGACGAGGATCTAGAATCAGTTGTTGCTTGACGCCGATAGGAAGGGAAGATGGAATTAATTTAGAGAGCACAAAGGCCGGACAACTTCCTCTTATCGCTGACATCACCTCTATAGTGAAGGATAGTAGCAGATTAATGAGTTTCTAGGCGGTGGTACCTGCTACAGAGACATATGTCGATCATTGTCTCATCCTTTCGGTGCATCTGTTAGTACCTAGACCTACTCAAGGAAATTTGCACCTACTAGGATGTTTAGATCTCAAAGCACTGCTTCCGAGTGCAATGTATCTGTCTGGACATTGTGGAATGACTGGGCCACTGTGCCTGACAACCCCTCGGTCGGTGGATTAGCTTCCCCGAAGAAACCTTAATGGACTCTGCATCCCAAACCAATTCCTGCTGTCTTAGTCTTATAATTAAAGGCAATGGAGCACACGGGTCAATAGCCATTAGTTTGATAGTTCAGCACCCTAAAACGGAGGAAGCTTTCTGCCGCTGGCTTTAACAATGCGGGATTTGCTGGGTAATTCATACTACACAGATGCATAGTGAACAATACATCCACCCTATTGCTCAACATGGGTTGGTCAGATGCAACGAGCTTTGAGCCCTTGATGCGACAGATACTGCGAAAAATATGATCCTTATGAAATCTGCGGGTATAGGACCGATCAGGTCGCCAATGTATAACCGAAACCATTCTCCACGCTTCCAAGACGCTTGTCGCCTTGCAGAGCGAGTAGGGCTACTGCTCGCTCAAAGGCAGAGAATGCCAGATTTCCCCGATCAACGTCCGGACGTGGGAAGGGGTGGTAGGCATAGAAGTAGAAGGACGACCATAGACACCGATAGCTCTGTCTGGAAAGGTAATTCCCGGATGGGCTTTCGTAAGGTGGTTTTCAAGGCTTGCCCTTGTCCAGTCCAATCAAAGTTATTAGTCCTTGAATGATTCTTTTCTTTTGTGAGTGGATTGCGACTGACATGGCTTTTCTTGAGGGGTGTCACGGATACAGGACGCGTCGAAAATAGCTTGCGGCGAGATGGCGGTTGCACGATCTCGAATTACGATGGTATTGCTCAAGTCCTGGAGAACAGACTCTAGTAAATTTAGGTCAAGATCTGTCCGAGACTCCTTCTCTCTATATTGTCCAGCTTACCTGTAGTAAAATTTCGGAGATAATTGTCCACCTTCTTCCGGTGGCTTCGGGCCAGGGACCGGTCAAGGATGTTGCTCAGTATAGCAGTCATCTTGAAATCTTGATTTTTCTCATTACTACAGAGAGGGCATGTAATACTGAGATCGACAGACTGCCCTCGCGGGAGCTGGCGGAAACGTTTAAGCTGTTGCCTTGATCCGATTGGGGGCCAAGGAGTCATCTCTTGGGGGCCGAGTATCGGGCACACGAGCATGTGGTGGCGATCTATCAACTGGCAGATCTCGTCTAGTATTTCAATGGCAACATGGGAGGGCAGATATTAAAATATAGGCACCCGATTACAAGAGATAACAACGGGACTCGCGTTGAATACGTGAGATAATTCCAAGGAAGTTTTCAGGACATACAAGTTGAATTATATATCTACACAGAAAGACGTTCTGAGTACACTAAATAACATTTCAGAATGATATAGAAAGGAATTACATCGACTATTTAAAGACCGAAATGGGAGCATATGCGAAACATGGAGTTTCACTACCCAATTTCGCACCGAGCACGCCCGGGAGTATGTCGATCCCCGATATCTTGACTCCAACCTGCTGTTGCTGAGAGGCCAGGTCCACACCAACTAAGCCTTGATCTTGGCATACAACTTCTTAACGAAGTCCCGACAGTTGTTAGTATAAGTATTATACCCCTTCTTGTTCATCTCCTTTGCAATCTCTTCGCCATACTCATCTATCTTTTCCTTCGTCACCCCTTTCTTGATCTTCCCCAGAACCTCGTATTCGGACGGCTTCTCTCGCTTGTACCAGTCCGTAGAAGCGTCTCCACACCTCTTGTTGAAGTAAATTTCCTTGCCATCTTCACCACGACGAGCAATGTCAAAGCAATTGGCCTCAAATTTAAGGTCGTAGCTACCGGTCTCACCCAGTTCTTTTGTAACATAGCCGGTGACCAGGAGGTAGTGATCGGGCCAGTTGTATCCGAGAATTTTCGTCAAGACGGATTCTGAAGAGGTTGAAGGCTTGCAGTCAGCTACAACAATCTCATACTATATGGAACAATACATAGAAAGGTTTGACCGCAGGGGATAAGGGTGAGTGCGCACTCAGCTTAAGGGCGTAGCCATCGCCCACGACTGGGGTCGTTTTGAGAGTCTCCTCCAACACCTTATATGTCTCGTGAGTCATAGTGGGAGTCGACGCCCGTTTGACCTCCGTCGGCGCGTCGCTGGCCGTCTTAGAAGGAACATAGGTAGGATCACCATCTTCTGAAACAGTGATGATAGGAACCGACTCAGAGAACTCAGAGATAGCAGTAGGACGATATGTACCTGCACCGGTGATGCCCAGCAAAGCCCATCCGCCGGTGGTCTTGTTTTGATCATCCTCGGGGCAGAACTATGACATGATCAGATACAGACGGTCAGCGTTAGATACCATCGCTACGCACCCAGCACTCAGGGCCTCCCACAACCGGGACAGATATCTCCTTGCCATCAGCTGCCGTGGTAGAGATGTGGGTGTTCGCTGCGAGATCAGCTACAAAGGAGGGTGTGACTGAGACCTGCTCAGCCTGACTGATAGGTACGGCAGCGGCCGAGGTGCCGGATGCCAGGAGTAAAGTGATCCATGCGATCCCAGTTTGGGCGGGGATGGATTTGGACCACATTTTGTGAAACACTTGACTAAGAAGACAAACAAAAATAATAGTAATAAGAAGCGATTGAAGTTATTGAAGGAAAAAAGAGTGACAAGCAAGAATTTGAATGAATGAATGGACAGAAGAATAAGGAATGGATGTGTGGGATGAGCATGTACTATTATGATGAGCAGAGGTGCGACCGGTATTTATACATTTTAATAGATAGTCGGAACTGTCAAAAATGTCGCATCTCAATCAATTTCAGTGTAAAGGACAATTGAGGAAGCAAGTTTGGGGGCGTGGCTGAATCAGACGGATCAGGGTCGTACTAAACCAGAACTGACTGAAGGATTGGGGCCAATTTCAGCTTGTCATAGCAGGCTTTCAGCCTGACTCTGCCCTACGGAGGAGGGTCTTGCATTACCTTGCCAATTGTGACAGGGCACCGTTTCGTATATTAAAGCTTGTTCCTTCTTGGTATGCCACACTAATCATTAGTTAATCCTGCGTTGGGGGCCACTCCTGAGCAGCACCGGCAAGCTCGGACCTGTAGCCAAACCTAACAAGATCATCCGAATGGCAACATGCCCAGATGTTTGATCAATCTCTCGCTCTCGCGATGTACTGACCCTTTTGTGTTTGCAGAATAAGTTATTTGTGCTTTTAGTTCTGCGTCTCCTCGAGATCCTCGGGCCAGCCAGGTACGAGAAGCCGGATGTAGATGGGAAGCTGGATGGACCCATTGGGGCCGGAAACATAGTAATCCTACCATAGCGCTGCAAAAACCAAAGAAATCTGGTACGTGATGTTCATCTAAATTGGCCAACTTCCGAGACAACCGAAGACTTTGCATCATTGGGTCAATTGACTCTGAATGGTAGCGAGGAACCCACTACTGGTTTAATAGCAATATCATCCTAAATGAAGGACGTCTGTACTTACTTTCAAGTTGTACGTCCAACAATATTGTAGCTGTCATGACGGAATGATTGGCTTCCAGTGCCACACGCTGCGTCAATTATTCCTCATGGGTGAACACTAGCATGCGCTTACCACCGGATAGCATCTTACTAAGGATAGATAATATGTGCCCCCTTCATATAAACGCCTCCTGCTAGTGCATCCTATACATGCTTGTGTTATGTCTAGAAGCCACTTGTAGCATAACGGCAGATTGTGCCGCTTATTGTTGGCAAAATACATCATATGGGCTGTGGATACAGGAACAGGACGCTAATAACTCAAGGCTGAGATGGTTTGGACCCCAGTCAATTCTTGTATCACCGTTGCCGTTGTCCAGTACTTAACCAGCTCTGTGCCAAACTTGACGCAAGTGCCCAATAATATAAATCTTACAAATGCAAGGCATGCCTTACCGATACCAAGAAGAGTATAACTTCTCAGCAGTCTTTGTTCCAGGAAAATAAACTATTTTCGAGGCTTTATACACCAACAGTGAGTTGGACGATCAGTTCATTGCTTAAATCTTTGTCAGGAGGTACAAGCAATCTGTGCAATGATAGAAATATTACTAGACGCTAGTATACATTTACGTATACTAGTCACAGGCTAGTCAATTTTGTGGATTTCTATCCAATCCCTGCTCATGTCTCTTAGGCCAATTCACGATTGACCTTTGTGCAAGGACTTAGCACACAACTTATTCTTACTCGCCAGCTCAGAGTGATACATAGCAAATCAAAGAATCAGAATATAAAACGCCACCCCTCAGACCAGCTCGTCTTAAAATTCCCTGCTCTCACCAATGCCACACACATCAAACACATCCGATTCAGGTAGACCGCTCTTAACTAGCGCATCCTTCAAAAGACTCGGCGGTTCCATTACATCCTCCTCCGCAACAGCCCAAGTGCCCCAATGAATCCCAATAGCTTTTTTACATCTCGTATCCTTGAAAATCTCCACAGCATCATATGGATTTGAATGAACGGTGCTCAAAACATGTCGTGGTCTATACGCTCCAATCGGAATGAGCCCGAGATCGAACGGGCCACGGAACTCTCCGATCTCTTTAAATGCCGCACAGACCGGTAGATCAGCATAGTCTGCTCCCCAGTCATCAACCTCCTTGGGCACATAGGGAACAGATCGGTAACCCGTATCTCCTGCGAAGTAGACCGACTTGCCGCCAGAGGAAACAGACCAGGAGGCCCATAATGTCGTCGCTTTGTCGAAGGGGGTGCGTGCGGATGTATGTTGGCATGGTAGACATGATATCGTTGCTGAAGCTATGAAGTCGTCTTGGGATGAGACAGAAGGGGCATTATCTTCGGTCGTATAAGCCAACTTGAGACTGACATCCTCCCACCAATCCAGCTCAATAGCGTTCTCTATGCCGCAATCCACAAACCACTTTTTAAGACCCTTGGGTACGCAGAATTTGACAGAGGGGTGATGTTTCTGGATTTCAAGAACTGTCGGGTACGACAGATGGTCATAGTGGGAGTGGCTTATCACAACCTTCAGAACCTACATGTCAGCCGTCATCGGAAAGAGAACATCGGTGGTAAGACTTACACAATCAATGATTGGAAGATCAGATATGTCGCACGGAGGGGGCGTGAATCGTTTGTGTCCTATCCAAGAAAACGGCGAACAACGATCTTCAAGCACGGGATCGAAGAGAACGCGTAGGCCAGTAGGAAATTCAACGAAATAGCAGGCGTGACCTAGCCATGTTGCACGCAGCAAGTTTGGGCAGGTGGCAGCTGGGAGAAATGTTGAAGTCCTTACTGGTACGGTCGATAGAGTGGTGTCGGGCTTCTGGCTGTTTCCTGAGAGAAACTTGTGTCTGCAAAGCTTTGTCAGCCGCTTAATACTGGACTTAACCAAGGGAAGAGTGCATACCGCATCATAGATTTGAATAATTCTGGAAAGGTGAAGTCGCGAGAACTCTCCCATGGATTCCGAAAGCCCTTGACTTCCTCGGGATGCCCTTCTCCTCTCACCCAGTGGTCCTTTTTGCTCGCACTCTCGGGCGCCGCTTTTGATGCGGACGGCGCACTGAAGGTCCAGGTATATTTTGTTTTTGACGTCATTGTTTTTGTAATTATTCTGGAGGTCTTACTGAAGCACTGTACACTTCGCATGGCCACTTCCTGATATCCGACCAATGTACCACCTCGGGGAAAGAGATGGCTGGATACAGGATAGGATATATGTGCAGCGGTCAGGTGGTAATGTTGTTATCATGGCGTGACTGCAGGAGCTCGCGCTTAAGCCTCCTCGGGCTGGATTTAGGCGTCCCATTTTACCGGTCAGATCCGGGCCACCAACCAATCAAAACTTAATCGGCGCGAAGCTTGATTTTCTTGGTGAATTTAGTACTAAACTAGAGTTGTTTCCCGCCGGGCGACAGCTCTGAACTCTCGGTTGATGTGGACAAACGAATATTGGCTTGCTTTCGGGTCTTCCTCATCCGCTCCTACGTCTTGCTAAAAAGATATTTACAATGAGTAATGAATGATGCGTTCAATTCTATCAACAATGTCCTCCAACTGAACAAGAACCACGGAATAGGTGCTGGGACCAAGCGGTCTCACATCAGCGACTCCTAAGACATACTACCCCTGAAACACAAAGTCAAGCAGTCCCAAGGGCGATCCACGAGGTACATGAACCTCTTTCAGCTCAAACCGGCCATCGGCTCGCTTAACAACGTCGTTCCAGTCCTTCACCTTCCGCTCCTTGGAATTACAGCCAACAAACATCTGCATATCCATCGATGCAACCAACTTCCTTACCGTCAATGGGGTCATCGAGTCTGTTTCCTCGTTATAGTCCTCCGGCATGACAAAATCAAAAATCACCAAGTGGTTTCCTGGCTTTAGGACGCCCAGCAGGTTACGGACAATTTGCAACACATATTTGTCGGACCAATCATGCAGAACTGACTTGAGCAGAAATACATCTGCAGGGAGTACCTGCGGTTCGAAGAAGTTATGGGTCTGGAACTTGATGCGCGAGGCATAGTGAGTGGAGTTGATGTTTTCGTCGAAGGCAGACTGCGCCGAAGCGAGGTCCTGCACAACAAGATCAAGCTTAGGATAATTATCAGCAAGAATCACGCTGATATGCCCGGCTGATCCTCCAAGCTAGGTCACATTAGCATAAAGGCCTACGCTATTATCCAGTTAAATAGTAGGGGACGGGGAGTCTTACATCAACAACAGTTGCCTCATTCAAACTACTCCAGTCAAATTGCTTCAATACACACTCGGTCATAACTCCACTTGTCATTCGAAGCCCCTGCATTGCCTCTGCAAAACGCTTGGCTCGAAAGCCTTTTGGCTGACCCGGTCGCTCAGAATTCTCGAGAAGTTGCCACAGATCTCCACCACTTTGATGACCATCATAAGTCGCCAGTGCGATCGGACAGGCTGCAACATCCTCGGGAGGCTCGGATTCCCCAACAAACCACTTCTTTAAAGCATCGACCCCAACAGTAGCAGCCGGTCGGACATCCTCCATATTGTGTTCCAGATATGATTTAACGAACGGATTGCGCACAATGAGCGCTGATGCCGCTGTGTGCACCACGCGGTCGGAGCCCGGCGCTTCCTCGGCGAAAACAAAAATCGTGAATGCTAATCTGAGGATGCGTCGCACGATCTGCTCGGGCAAGTTGGTGGACTTCGCAATGTCGGCGTAGCTGGCTGAACCGTTCAGAGGGACGGCATCCCAGAAGTTGAAGTTGTTGAACACGTCGAAGGCGAGGAGTGAATGGTTAAGCTATTTTCCGTTAGTATCTTCGGACCGTAATAAAGGAATAGAGTACCAGCTGCATATCAAACTTACAAACATGCTCTGATAGTGCCAGAAGTCACTCGGACCGATAACGAGGTGATGGAGCGTTTCCAGGGTTTCCAAGAGCTTCAGTCGGGTGCCTTGAATTTCTAGACTTTGAGGCAAGGACGCTGGAGCATCGATGGCGAATGACGGTTCAGGCTGATTCAAAGCCTCGAGCTGATGGGCGAGAGACGCTGTGAGATCTGAAACAGAAGAGCCAAGGGCCTCAATACTCTGCTTCGATGGTGCCATATTTAGCGAGTTACGGAGACGCGACGCTTGAGTGATTTGCTTTAATTTCGAATCTCAGGATGCGTGATGAATGATTCCAGCTTTTATAGTGATCCTAAAATTGAATTCTCCCTTTCTTTGCAACCGGTCCACACACCAAAATAGGGAGCGATGCCCTTGACATCGCATCAGTACTGCTGGGACCCTCTGATTGTGAACCCAAGCCACTGTCCGTTGTGAGAAAGCATATCGATGAGATTGATTCAGAAAGTTTACTTCGTTCGCGATCCACTTCGTCCAAGCTGCATCATATGCTAAGTAAAGGTAAGCGGCTCGTATCATCTACCCAAGCGCCCGACGCGGGCCGTGCAGGCCTGAACCCTTTAACCTTGTTATGGACGTAGTTGGAAGAACTACTGATCTGAATTCCGCATTTGGTATGCATGTCGGTGATACCACACTTTTCCGCAGCATGACATCTTGTCCGAAGAGGTCACATAAACCACGGCCCAACAGACATGAATACAAACCTTCTTAAGGTCAGGAGAGATCTATGGCAGCATACTCTTTGGCTAGCAATAATTACTCTCGCACTACAGCAGCATGATACGCTGTTGATTTGGCCCAACGGGTGTGTGTGCATCTAGAAAAGCATTCTTTCGCATCCGTATGGTGATCCAGGATGGCGAAGCAGTACTATTAATACTTAGAGGTCGTTTTGCCATTTCTCTGATATTCCTACCTATCCTGTCATTATGTAGTACTGCGCTATCTTCTACAGTAAATCCAAAACACAACTATAGTCTAATATATTACAAAATTATCCTGACAACCAGATAACAAACTTACTGTCACACATGCTCAGGCTTCCTGCCAACAACAGTCAACCTAGTCCAGGCATGAAACACCCCATCTTAGGTCTCCTTCAAAACCTACAGCAATATCCCATGCAAACGCTGACCCACTTCCTTATTATTTGTATTCCGAACAATAATGTCGTGCGCCATCAAGACGCATTCATGGAGCATGTAATCCATATATCCCGGACCTTCACGAGTCTCTTTCTTAATATCCACCAATCCGATGCTCTCGAATAAGCGCGGGAGCTCAGGATCCCAGTGAGGCACCAATCTGGGGTCAGCGGAGCGAGTAATTCGTACTATTTCCTCAAGAGCAGAGGTGCTGCATTCTTCGTTGATCTTGTCGATGCGCAGGTAGTGGATGTCGACTTCTCCCCATTGAGTATAGCCCCCGGGTTCTATGACTCTGGGGAATTAGTCTCACATGAGAGGCCTATTTCATGAAGGAACGGTCATACTTATAAGCCCGAAGACTTTACTGAGAATATCCTCAATCCCCTGATCCGATAACACAAACACTACATTGCGAACATGTACAATGTCGTATACACCTTTGGATTCTTTCGGGACGTCTGTTTTCATGTCCCAATTATGCAGGCCAACATTGCGAGGAGTAGCTGTTTGGGCGGAAAGGCGGCTAATGAGGAATCAAACGCATCCAGCTGTACCTACGGAGGAAGGCGACGACTTAGATCAGTGAGAACTATTCTGTAACGAAACATTGAGTATAGGCACCAAGACTGAAAGTCGCATAAGACAAAGGTGACCTATTCGTTCCTGCGGCGATATCTGCGATCTTGAGATTCGGGTTCTGCACGGGTATGTCTGGGTGCAGGAAGTATCCGAATATCTCCGTCGAGAGATAATGTTGTAGGTTGATACTGTCCCCATTATTCCCAATGTAGCCAATAAAATCAGGGGATGGTTTGCATGTACCGGTTGTTGTCAAGATAGTCCCGAGGGAAAACATATTCTGGTGGGGGCATTGTGATAAGCAGGCGGGAAAGAATTGTACCAGTGTTGGGCAACTTGCGCAAGTGAGCGCTGTCAGCGACAACTGTACTACTTTAATATACTTTCCTATGGTGGTCTGACCTCGTATCGACGTGCGTAAGTTAGTAGTGAAAGGCTTACGCCTCTACCCGTAGGTTTCGTGTATACAGTAGTTGTTGGATTCCGGGCAATCCCGTCTAGTCGTTCCGCACGGGGCGTCGCAGGACGCCTTAAATTTGAAGTGGCCTTGAAAAGAGCCCAGTATTCATCATTCTTCACATTTGATACTCATTTACTCAGTGAATTATACAAATACCATCTATCTCGGCTTATGTGGATTATAAATCGCTAGACGGTCGGCCGAGTTCAAGCAGCATAATACTCTCGCTCTTACCCCGCCAGATCCACACCAAATCACTCAGACCGAGAAACACTATTTCACGTGTTTAATCATCTTCCCTACGACCTGCTTTCAATCAGGATGACACCAGAACAATTCCAATCTACATGGGATAAAGTCTTTATAGGAAATCCAAACGAGGCTCGCTCATTCTGTGAAGAGGTATTAAACCCCAACTATGTGCGCCTGGAAGCTGGCAGGGACCGAACGGACTTTGAGCGCGCTGTCGAGAAAGTCACTCTCTTCCGCCAAAACTGTAAAAAGTTCAATAGTTCCTTGCCCTTCTTTGCTCAAGACAATAAGAAAATTGCTGCCCGGGTGATTTGTGATTTTAAAATGGGTGATGAACCAGAGCAAAAGCTTGAGGTCATGATCATGATTGAGCTTGATGACGAGGAGAAGTGGGTGGCTGCCTGGGAACAGTTCAGTCCATTTTCGGGATGATTCTGCAGTCGAGTTGGATCGGATGAATATTGTTCTTGTGGGGCGTGAACTTGAAGCAGATGCATACTCAGTATGTTCTAATCTAGGATTTTCAGCAATTACTGAGATTCTCACGGCGCTAATATAAGCTGTTCCTTCTATAAACATAAACCCCAAATATGTTCCGGAAGCCCTTTTCAGCAATTTACTCTGTTCAATCTTAGAGTAAATTCCGTTTGTCGCTTCTTGAATCATAAATGAATTATGTTTGGAGTAGTTCATTAGAAGAAAGAGTCGTCCGAACATGTCGACTATCAAGGGGAAGCCTATTTTTCTGTCAGACTGGGTAATCACGAAACCAATGAGGCATTCCAGCTCTACGAGCAGATTCGGAACAGCAAAGAAGATGTATGCCCTTATTGGGATGCCATAGGCTTCGTCAGACTGATGAATCATAACTAACTTCCCCGTGAGGAGATGGGAAAGAGCGACCCGGTTTGTGAAATCCTGGCGTGCTCCGTTCAACGACGGATGCCTGATTGCGTTTATCATGGTAACACAGAGATACCGTAGCTTTGGCTAAGTCCGGCAATACAGTTTCTGACTCGTGTCTGTTTCCAACTACCCGTGGGGACATGATTTCGGACCGTTATGCAAGGTGTCGGAAGTGATTGGCTGAAAATCTAATCATCCAAATGATTAAAAGTACTTAGTACTAACTAACTAAGTATTAAGTAGTCTACTAAATTCAAACAGCCCGGCATGATTGGAAAGGTTTGTAATTGCAGACTTACACCACAGGACACTGCATAGATCGGCCAAAGTAGGTATCTTGATCGGGAAAGTGGGACGTTTTTTCCTGCGTCTTCTGAAATGTTTGGCGCAAAGACGAGTGCGTATAGATCATGACATCTCTGACTGAACTGTATTCAATCACAAGCTACGCCTAGCCCTCTATGTTCGAGTCAGATCCAGAGGTAGTATCAAGTGCAGCAATGCATTTCCCCACTCAGTCATTTCAGAGATTTTGCCCCAAACTTCGGTACAGAAACCGGCCTATAGTTAGGATATGGATCATTTGACCAGTATTCTGGAGAAGGCATCAGAAAAAGCAGCAGACTAAAGGCTGCCCATATACGCACCGTGTGCAGTTGCCGGTCATTCATATGAGCCTATACTAGCGTCTGAGGTTCCGAAATGACTACATTGAAAATGGAGATGACATCAAGCTCTTTCTGGTAGCCTTGGTAGTTGCCATTTCCGCAGGAGGCTTATCAGAAGGAGTGTCTGGCTACGAAATCTGCTAAACCTACCGGGTTCTGCTTCACCCATCAAGGAGGAGCAGATAAGAGCACTGGATGCTCAGGTTGCAGGGACTGCCAGAAGAGGAAGTATTGCAGCATTTTTCAAGCACGGTCTCGTCACGTAGGATACGGGGGCAAGGAATGATGCCTTGATAGACTAGACTCACATCTCTTATTGTATGACGCAAGTAACGCGACATCATGAGCCCCGCGGCCCTCTCTTTTGATGCGTTTCACACTCAACCCCCAGCGCTCTGCCTATTAGTAGAGAATAAATCTTTGTCCAAGCTCAAGGGTGGTCACATTTCGCATGGCTTGATACACGCTTGCATGATGTGATGAGGCTGCGCGTGGTCAATGGGTTGGATTATCTGGTTGGCTGGCATTACAATCGCTTATAAAGAGCATGACTTGATAATATCATCACGTGTAACTGGAAGCATATTCTTGGAGGTAATGATTTGACCGAACACGTTATCATTAGGGAAATGTAACAAATACTATAGATATGTCCACGTCCCCACCTACTAATTTCGGAGAAACGAGCGGACCAATGATGAGATCGCAGCCAAAAGCGTATCTCGCATAGTCTACTATATTTGAAGTATTCAGAAATGGTCTGTAACAAAGTTTAAAAATGTTCCGCGCGGGAGACATCCCTTAGAAGTTACGACCCTGTGAAACGACCCGTTTCGACCTATCCAAGAGAGTCGCCGAAATTCTTTTTCACCCCTTGCAGACCGATCACCTAACGATGCCAAGAGATTCTTAATATTGGGAGAGGAAGCCTTATAGTGCATGTACATGATGTGATCATAATTTGTGGCCTGTAAAAATCGACTCATGAGTTGTAGACGCAGATCATACCCTACATTTCCTTCGTCCAATACACACATCCGAGAGTGATAAATGGGAAGGTAAGGGGTGCATGGGGAGTACCTACGATGAAGCGGAATTTATGGGCGAGTCAATGACTAGGATACCCAAATGAATGACAAACTTGCGATTTGGAAGCCATGGACAGCATCATCCGAAGCGGCAAGTACTAATGCTAAGAAAGACGCAATAGCCAACCCCGCTTGGTTACTTGTGCTAATTTGTGATATAGCCGAGCGTATGGCATCACATTTCACATAATTAACTTCTTCTAGTTCCCTCCAATGTACTGTTCATGGATGCTGTCCAGTAGCAGAATATAGGCTAGTACGTCTCAGTTGGCAAGGTTCACAGCGTACACATCTGTTCTGGACGGGTTTTACCCCTGTGTAACCAAAGCAGATAACGTGATTCACTTTGCTTCCCTAGCAGCTTGCATTGGATGTTGTGTAATCCTTTACTGAGAAGATAATCCGTCCACTACAACCAGATACCAAACTGGGAATCCTGCATTTACCGACAGTCATTTTGAGCGTTTGCCACAAATCGCTGATAGTCTTACGTGCACTTTTAATAGGTGTCAGCTCGTGTTTAGCATCCTTCGGCTGTATCAGCACCCTTACATTACCCAGCAAAATCGAATTAAGGAGCTTCCGAGGCTAAAACCAGCTGCATTGCTCTCAATTCGACAGTATCGCTGATCGGGTACATAATCTATGACGACGCACCCCAAACCTGAATGGCTCAGTATCCTGATCACAATCGAGGTGATACGTAGAGTTTGGATCGGAGGTAAGGACAATGATACTTCTGGCCAAAAGCGTATCCCACAACTATAGTTCTTATAAGTGGGGGTTGACGTTCAAATGCTGAAATGAGATATTGCCAGGCATTGAGAATGCGGAACCTCAGTAAAACCGCATGAAGGTTGCAATTCGAACACTATCTTGAAACTCCTAACACAATACAATAATGTCGCCAGCAATTTCAGGGGCTTTGGAAGTCCCAGCCTTCCAAAGAGCATATGTTTCTAAGTCACATGGAGACGGTGAGTAGGAACCGTCTTGGGAGTGCTCGGCTAAATCTATCCAGGACTTGAGTTTGCCACGATCAAAGTTCCTACATATTCTGCCGATGAGATATTGGTCAAAATCATGTTCTCAGGCGTTTGTCATACAGACTTCCACGCGTGGAAAGGTTTGTAAACTTATCGGCCTCGCGATATAGTGCTAACAATCTAAAGGACACTGGCCTGTTAAGCCGAAGGACAACCTTGTTGGTGTGTTAAACAATCAGTCTTCTCTGACGCACATTACTCATTTGACTTACTTGCTCCAAAGGCGGGCACGAGGGAGCCGGAATAGTCGTGGCGCTCGGTGAGGATGTTACAGATATATCCATCGGCGACAGAGTGGGTGTACAGGTATGGCCCCCAGATTGATATTCATCCGAAGGGGTATGCTTAGACATTGCGTTAGTGGGTGAACAGGACCTGCGGAGCCTGCGAATTCTGCTCTCGTGATTCCCAACCACTATGTCCACATATCCAACTTTCGGGATATACCGTCGATGGAACCTTTCAGCAGTACTGCGTATGCAAAGCCGAGAACGCAGTTCGTATACCGCCGGATATCCCTCTCGATCAGGCTGCTCCCGTATGTACAAGTGCAAAGATGCTTCCCTAACTTGCTGTTTTCGCTCTAACTCGTCAAGATACTGTGTGCTGGTCTAACGGTATACAAAGCACTTAAGGAGTGCAGTCTCAAGCCAGGAGAATTAGTCGGTATGGAGTCCTCTTTGTGGGCAATAGCTCAATTTTATTAACCTGTCCCAGCAATTGCAGGAGCAGGAGGGGGTCTTGGTACGTTGGCGTGCCAGTTTGCAAAAGCATGCGGATACCGCGTTCTGGCAATCTCCGCGGGCGAATCGAAAAGGAGAATGTGCATCAAAAATTTGGGCGTCGACTGCTTTGTCGACTATAAAGCTTCTTCTAACCTTATTGAGGAGGTCAAAGGAATTACCGAAGGGGGTCCAAATGCCGTCATCGTCGTCAGCTCAACAACAAAGCCGTTTGATGAAGCTATTCATGTACGCCCCACTCACAAATACAACTTCCCCAAAGACTAATCAGAGTCAATGCAGTATGTAAGACCGAGGGGTACTATTGTCGCTGTCGGCTTGCCGCCCGGGTGTATGAACGCAGACATCTTTACGATCGTCCTTCGTAATATCACTATAAAAGGAAGCTACGTAGGGAATCGTTACGAGACAGAAGCAGCACTGGAGATTGCCTCTCGCTCAGGGATTATCGCTCCTTACAAGTTACTTGATGCCCGCGAACTGCCAAAGGTGTATGAGCGAATGGACAAGGGTATGAAATCCGTTCATCCCAAAGGATATATGCTCACTCTACATACGAGGAATGGAAGGGAGGGCTGTTCTTCGCATTTCTGGCGATGAAGTCATATCTTCTCCTGTCAGTCTAACTCCACAATTGCAACCGCAGTTCCGTCCAGACGAGTTCAATGTCGGAACTAGGTTGGCGTACCGGTTGGAGGAGCTGGGAGTTACGGATTATTTTGCAGTACCTGGTAAGTCGGAGAGAGTTAGGTCAGGCGCATATACTGACTTTAATAGGCGACTTCAACCTGGGCTTACTTGACGAAATACTGAAGAATCGGTCCATACGCATGATTGGATGCTGCACTGAGTTAAATGCCGGCTATGCTGCAGACGGTTACGCTCGATCTTCGCCGGGGAAAGTCGCTGTGGTTTTCATAACTTTCATGGTGGGTGGACTTTCTTTGATTAACGCCATTGCTGGTGCCTATTCGGAAGGTCTGAGGGTAGTGGTCATATCCGGCTGTCCGCCCCAGAAAACATTCAGAGATGAGCGATTGGTCCACCATACGTTAGGCACTAAGAACAAAGACCAAGTCTTACGAATGTTCAAAGAAGTTACGGCATTGTCGGTGCGCATAACAAGCGAACATGAACCTGCGGAGGCTCTTGATAATGCGATTCGCTGCTGTTTGGAAGCATCACGTCCAGTGTACATTGAGATTCCTACCGACATTGCCCAGGAGCCTTGCGAATCTCCTGGCTCCCTCCTGATCAATATTTCCAGGCGATTCGAGATGAGCCACGCCCTCAACGTTGTTGATGCAATCATAAAATGTTGGAATGCAGTGAAAAAACCGGTTTTACTGGTTGGGGCCCATGCGCGCCAAGCTCTTCTTCCTGATATGTTGGTCTCTCTCATCGATAAACTCGGTTGTCCAGTTCTAGTCCAGCCTGACGCCAAGTCCCTTGTGCCTGAAGACCATCACCATTTCCTGGGCACATTTTGGTCCAGCGCAAGCGAGCAAAAATGTCACAAAACATTCAAGGCCTCTGATTTATGGATCATGGTTGGATGTCGTTGGACTGACTATCACACACTGGGCTGCCTTGACATGGAAAAAGAAACTCACCGTATCCTCGACCTTCAGGACGGATTTGTCACGACTCCTAGTGGTGAGAGCTTTGCAGGCATACCGCTCAACGAGTTGATAAACGTCATCACTCAGTCAGATATCCACCACAAAGAAATCACGATACCCAATGGGGTCGTCCAAACTACTAAGGTCAAACGAGCTACCATAGAGACCTCAAGTCTGTCGCTCTCCAGCATCCTCAGTGGGATACAGGACATGATAAAATCCGAGAATTCCGTCATTGCTGACACTGGCGATAGCTGGTTCAATGCCCAAATGATCAAATTGCCCTGGGGAGCCGACTACCAGATGCAAATGGTGTATGGTTCGATCGGGTGGAGCCTTCCAGCGACCCTTGGTTATCAGCTTGGCCGGCCAGACCAACGAACCATACTGATGATCGGAGACGGTAGCTTTCGCATGACATGCCAAGAATTAAGCACCATGATCAGCCTGAGACTCAACCCTATCATCTTCGTGTTCAACAATCTAGGCTACGCAATAGAGGTAAGTCCAGTTAGGAAAGGGACTATAACAGCGAATGGAAGTCTTACTACTTCTAGACCGCGATCCACGACGGGCCATACAACTATTACACGAATTGGAACTATGCCTCATTCGCAAATAGCCTCTGTAGCCCTTTCCATGCCGTCTACAACAACCCATATTTTGACCACAATATCGCGGAGAATTGTTCGAATCCTCCGATGTTCTCAGCGCAGATCAAAACCACTGCGGACTTAATGATAGCCCTTAAACGTGCTGAGCGGGAGCCCAAAAAGCTTGCCTTTCTGGAGTGCTGCATCGATCCCAGCGACATCAGTTCCTCACTTCGTCGCTTTGGCTTGGCTGTTGGCGCTGGAGGCAAGGAGGGCGAGAATGGCTACACAGACAACAATTCATGAAGCCTTTGGCTCTCCCAGAACATTGTCTCCAAGCATTTATAGATATTTTGACGACGATATTCCTCCAGGTTGTGCCATTCCTCATGCCAAGCTCAGGTTTAGTTATCATTTCACACCTATCACATGATTTTGGAGGCTAAATTTGTCTCGAATAGCGGAGCCTTGGAAGATAGTAAATTTGTTTACATGCAGATGGAAATACGATAGATAGCATTCAACAAAGAATTCTCGATCAGAGCGTTTGGGTGCATCCTAGGTAGCTTTATGGTGTCTTTGATATTGTAGCCTGAAATGTAGCTTAGCAATGAAGAATCTCAGACTTGGTACTATCACTTCTGACACCATTTCTCTAAATTTTTGATTTGCGTACATACTAGTCTCTGCAGAATATCACCTATTGCCATGGTCGAACTTTGAAATTATACATAGTAGAAACAACAATGCTTGGTCTTCATAATCCCCAGATATTGTTCCGGGATTTCCCCGATGTGTTAGGCAACTGTGTTTCCCTAGGAAGCCCAGTTCGGAAGATTCCCGAAGCGGACATACCCCGTGGGGTATCGAGGGCACATACCCTTAAGGCCACCGCTAGATTTAGAAATAAATTGAGAGTGAACTTTCTCCAATTGAACGAATGTGGGACGTGAACTCGTTCCTATCAGTGATTTGGTGTCGTATTCAACGCATATATTGGTATAATTGATCCTGAGTGGCATATGTGCTTGGAGTAGCAATGGATCATGACTATAAAGAGGGATATAAGACAGGTCCTGATGCCGCACATATTGAATCTATCGCCTACGCAGGCTTCTCGGACGAAGAGGCAGCAGTCTTACGTGCCTATGAAGGAAACCGGGGTAAGCAAGTTATGAGAAAGGTACACATGATGTGCTGCTCTGCCAACATCCCATTCTTTCGCTGACCATACGCAAAGATTGACCGCCATCTGATCCCTGTTCTCGCCTTGCTCTACCTCTTTTCCCATGTCGACCGTACAAGCTTGGGTAATGCAAAAATTGAAGGGATGGACAAGGATTTGAGCCTGGTAGGAAACCAGTACAATATTGCTAGCAGTCTCTTTTTTGTTCCTTACATTATCTTTGGTACGTATGGAGTGCATTATACTGTTGGCCACTTCGGTAGCTAATCGCCCCGACTTAGAGATCCCGTCGAACGTGATGCTCAAGAAAACACGTCCAAGCTTTTGGCTTGCAGCCCAGGTCCTAACATGGGGCATTGTGATGACATGTATGGGCTCTGTTCAAGGCTTCGCAAGCCTAACCGCATGCCGCGTATTGTTGGGGATGTGTGAGGTAAGCTCTCCCTCGTTCTCAACAATACATGCTTTTGACTTTTTTATAAGGCGGGATTCTTTCCTGGCGCTGTCTACCTGGTCACCCAGTGGTACCCACCAAATGTGATCCAGCAGCGTCTTGCTATTCTATATACTGCTTCGGCCATTTCTGGTGCATTCAGTGGCCTCTTGGCTTATGGGATCTCCAAAATGGATGGGATTCGCGGGATTGCCGGCTGGCGATGGATATTCATCCTGGAGGGTATTGTCCCGTCGGCATTTGGCCTGTTTCTGCCGCTTCTCCTACCAGATAGTCATGAAAAGGTCAGATGGCTCACAGCGGAAGAGAAGCGATATCTCAATCTGCGCTTCCGAGAGGGCGGCAATCGGTCCACTAACGGAGAGGGAGACAAGTTCTCCTGGTCATTGCTGCTCAACACGATGCTAGACTGGAAGATTCTTCTAGGGGTCCTTATGGGCATGGTCAACGCCGCTCCTAATGCGGCATTTTCCTACACAATGCCTACAATCATAAACAAGCTGGGTTTTGAATCGCAGAATGCTCAGTTACTGACAATACCACCTTACTTTTGTGGTGCCGTGTCAAGCTGGCTAAGTAGCCGACTTGCTGATCGGTTCGCTTGGCGATTTCCATTCATCGTCGCTCCGATGGCCTTGATGCTTGTATCATTTTTGATACTCCTGATACTATCAGCTAATGTCGACGCCTACAAAGGTCCCATGTATTTTGCTATCATTCTAGCACAAATCGGCATCTATCCATTGCTGCCAGGGATTTCGGCCTGGACAGGAAACAATCTTCCCCAGTCCTGGAAAAGGTCCATTGGTATCGCGTGGCTATTAGCTGCAGCAAATACTGCTTGTAAGTTTCCTTTCTATTCATGGGAATATAAGCTCATGTTAACTTCCTTAGGCTTTATCGGAACCAATGTCTTTCTAGATGATCAAGCTCCCCACTATGTGGTCGGATACGGTGTGTCACTTGGGGTTATCGCCATGGGCACTATTGCGGCTTGTTCTCTTGAATATGCATTGTGGAGCTTGAACCAGCGCAAGGCTGGTATCTCCGAAAGTGAAGTTCGTGCGACTTATACACCGGAGCAGCTGACAGCCATGGGCGAGAGTAGCCCTATCTTTAAGTACACGCTGTAAGATCCCTGATCATGTCGTAAATGATTCATGTACTTCGTGTTCATTTTAGGGACACTGTTCACTGTTATATATTACTATCAAAGATATGTTTCCAGATAGCAAGCTCAGGTGAAGTTTTATTATCATCTGCGACATCAGTAGTTATTCTCCTGTGGTGATTCATCTCCGTTATACAGCTTTGTTGATTAATTTATCCTCTGTATTCTTCGCCTTCTTAAAATGTGTAGAGACCCAATATACATCTGTCTTGGAGTATACGAAGA